CTCCTCCTCCTCCTCCTCTGTTCTGTTCATAGAAGTGAGCAGCTCCACTGCTCACTCAAAAAGCAAGAAGTCGCCACTTAAGTCCATTTCTCTTTCTCTCCCTGACTTGCCTCTTCCCCTGGGAGTCTGTGGCTTTGTAATGGTTGGAATTCCCATAAAAGTCCAATCTGTACCAAAAGCAGCCAAAACCACCATAAATCATCAGCAGGATTTGTTGTCCAATATACCACCAGGGCATCTGGATGATGCTGAGAAAGGTAGGCAGGGAGGGAAGAGTTGGACGGAAAACCCCAAAAAAACTGGGAAAAGGTTGACGAGGCATGAAAGCTGTGGCGAGAGAGATTACACATAGAGCCAAACATCTGGACAAGAGAAAGACGTACCTACAGCAGGTCTAAAACCTTCATAGCCAAGAAACGTAGCTAAAAATCTCAACATGAAGGACCTTCAACACAGGGCATTTGTGAAAACTTTACAGATTATTTGATAAGTGTGGGAATCGCAGGGCATCTGGTTAAATAAAAGGTAGAGGAGGGATATATTTTCACTGCAGTCTGATGTCAGCTCTCATGTGACAGCTCGTACACTTGCACTGGCTTGTAGCTCTTTATTCACTGCCATTTATTAACCTTCAGTGTCTTCTGGGGTTCAGTCACCTGATTCATATAAGTTACTTTCCCCTACAGTCTTATCAAAGCTGGGATGCTGGTTTAGCTCAGTGGGTAGAGCAGATCACCCATGTACAGATAGCAATGAGTGCAGGTTCGACTCCTGATTCTGCTGTTTGGTTCCTGTCATCCACCACTCCCTCTGTGCACATATCATGTCACTCATGCTTGAGTTATACAGTAACGAGCAAGATATATTCTTGTTTACTAATAAAAAAAAAGTCCGGACTCATTAAAAAAGCAGGGGCGGTGCCGCTGTGTTCTATTTGAACACAATGCGACTAGTGTAAGCATGCTGACATGCAGCTAAAGCTAATATCATGGTTTTTAGATGATTATTAATGGGGGAAAATAAGTTTATTTAATTGTTTTTAAAGTTTAAAGTCAACTTTAATCAACCTTTTTCTCGAGGGTTTAAGGATTTCAACATTTGTCAAAGGTCGGGGATAACTTGTAAGTCCGTATTGATTTAAGGAGCAGTTGCATGATGTTGTGGTTGTTCGGGGGTGTGATTTCTTAGTGGGGAGATGGTTTATTGATTCAGTCAGTCTATATTATGGTCAGCTGCTTAACGCTCCCAGGGGGCAACATCACCACTGTTTAAGTCTTAATATAAATGGTCGGTTATTCACAATCCACTGGCTGTGATTGATTCTAGCTTTGGTGTTTTAATTGTGACAAACAAGATGCAAACATGCAAGCATTCATTACTGTGTGGAAACATTTCACATAGTTTGGTGCTTCCACCTCTGCTACAAAATGCTAACTTTGAAAGTTTAAGAAGAAAGAGAAAGTGTTTAGATTCCTGGAAAAAAAATTGGTGACTCCCCCCCCCCCCCCCTCTGACTTTGGTGGGACAAGTATAACTTTAGTGACTTTGTCAAAGATCTGCCGATCATGTGTTTTTTTTTTTTTTTAATCTAGATCACACACCCACCTTCACTGCAAAGACTGTGTCATTTATTTGTGGACCAAACAGAGTAGTTATGGTCTGTTTAAGTGTGCACAAAGGCCCTCTGTGGCTGTGTGAAAGAGGCTTTCTACCTACCGTGCACCCACAAACAAACAGAGGATTAGAGATGTAAAGGGACCTTTTCAAATGTATCATGCAAAACTGAAGAGTGGCTGTCTTTTAAAAAAAAAAAAAAAAAAAATGTTTGTTCTTAGATTTTGCTTGCACTTCAAAACTTCCACCAGCAACAGAACATGGAGAGCAGTATGATCGGCTACAGAGCTATTTTGGGGGCACAGCGCTGTAACTAAAGCAATGACAAGCCAGCTGTGTTTCTACAGCTTCATGTAGGGAGGAGACAGGAGGAGGAGGAGGAGGAGGAGGAGGGATGAGAAAGCAGCAGTGATTAAATGTAAAAAAGCCTCCTTGAAGCTAAAGTTAACGCAAACTATCTGCTGGGCTTAGACATGAGCTGGGATGTTGGTTTTGTTTGACTGTACTTGCATGCCCAGAAAGCATTGCAGTAAAAATGTACCTTCCACTCAAGCCTGTCAAGAACAATCAGTTCTTGCCTTAAACAGGAGTAACCTCTTTAATGCAAATAATTAAAAAAAAAAAACCTGCAAGTCTGAAACACTTTTAATTTGGAGCCCTGGGACACTTTTAATAGCCCAAATAGTCTCAATGAAGCTTCTGACACACTTTGTCAAACACTTTTTTTTGCTATAGCTCTCCATTTTAATGTTATTTTTTTTTCCTTTGCACATTATTAGTTTAGCACACAGCTAATGGTGAATGTAAATTCATAAGGATTTTAGCAAGCTAACTCTGCGACATTAAGAGCACACGTTTAGGCATGTACTGTTTCTACTAATTACCGTGTGACTGTGGGAAAGCCAAATCATAAAAGTTAAGTTGTCCACTCAAAAACAAAAAAAAAACGTTTTGTTAACTGTCTGTGAAGCTTAATTGAAAGTGTAGTTTCCCCCCACAGCGTAAATGAAGCAACAGTTTGATTCAGGCTAACATTAGCAAGAAGATGCTAATTAGAGAAAGAGTGTTTTGTTTACCTCCGCTGTCCGCAGGGAGGGCGGTTTCTTCAAAGCCAGTTTGAAAGAAGTTTCCATGGCTCCGGTCATTTTCATAACTTCGGCTCCAGATCCACTATTAATCCACTTTTAAATCACTCTCTCCTGCTTTCCTCTTAGCCTCCCAACAAACTCATATTCTCGCGTATCTTCCCCCCGCACAGCCGAGCATGGATGGGATTTACCCTAAAAACGGGACCGCCGACTGGTTGAGCCCCCTTCTCCAAGGAGAAACCGAAAACTTTTAAACTTTCACTACTGCTGCTCGTCCGAACGGAAGAAAACTTTACTCGAGTGTGACAGCAAGTGAAATACACGGTCCAGGTTGTCTTCAATTCTGTACATCTTTTCAGGAGAGGAAAAATATCCAGCACGGTAGCTCCGTCAGATCCAGGAGTTCAGATTTTAGGTCCCTCCTCTTCCAGATCTGAGAGCGGAGAGTTGACGACATCTGTCTGCCCGGAGAGGATGCTGCTTTCAAATGCAGTCGGAATTAAGGGAATTTATTCGCAGTCGACGCAAACAGGCGGTGTGCATCGCTCCCTTGTGTAGCCTACAGTTGAACGGGTTAAAACCATTAGAGTGGAATTAAACTATTACATTATCATAACATTTCATTCAACGGCAATTTTATCTAGTTTAACAGAGGGATCATTTTTTTGAGACTCGAAAACCCCTACCAGTTCCCCAAGGCGTCACAATTTTCTACGTTTTGTATCTTAACTTTTTCTAATTCCTTACCTACTTGAAAAGTCGTTTTATGGTATTTTGTTTAACTTTCGAAACGTTTTATTTCAGAGGTTACACAATAATCATCAGACATTTACTACTGGGCTATAACATTTGTTTTACAACGTATACAACATATAGTTAGGCGAACCATCTTCACTGGGTGTAACAGCTGCACTGGTAGCCAAGAGAAAAGGCAGAAAGTTAGCAGCTTGACTCTGTAATATAGGCTATTACACAGCAATGTAGGGTATCCAAAGTTGTAGTCAGGCTACAGATGACACAAGCGATCCGTTTTCTAAATTGAAGCTTTAGTGTGCGAGTTTAGGAATGAGTCCCTGAATGCAGCACAGATCCTCCCACTGACTTCTGACACTTTTGTAGTCAGATTTGCCAGCACTGAAGACCGCTGTTCAGAAAAGCGGTATAATTAGATTACTGATGTGCATTTATGAAGCAGCAGCTCACTCAGGACCTTGACGTCTCCTGGTTTTGTAGAAAATAAAAGGTTACGCTGTACTATTACTCCTTATTTTCAATTAGGCTAAACTTTGAAAACTCGGAACCTTGTAGTTTTATTCATACTAAGGAAAAGGGCATGGCTCGAGTTTTTGAATCACGTTTTGTACTTTTTGGGTCGTATTTTTTTGTCCGCTTCCTAAAGTGCTATTTACCATGAAGAGAGAGAGGAAACAATGTGATGTTTCCACTGACAGAAGACACATTAGATATTTGCTTGTGTGTTCGCTTTCAGTCCCGGTGACACTCCTTCCTTCATTGCATAACTGCGGTGTGTGCTCGTTTCGTTTTACCTCCCATGCCGGGCGTGAGGGAGGTGGGGTGGGGTGGGGTGGGGTTAAAGCAGCCAGTTTGAGGATTTTTAATTCAAAGGTGGATGAAATCTGCGATCCAGATGTCGAGCACATGGGTGTCGAACCAGAATCAGTCTAAACAGAAGTGGGATTTCTGCACATAACTTACACTGATTTGTTGTCACTTTCCAGTCTGTTTAAAGAATGAGGCAATGTTTAAGCAGTGGAAGAAATATAAAGAATCATCTACTTTACAGTTTGTCAATGTTAATTTAAAATGTGTCAGCTATTTTTCAGAGGGGAAGAAAAAAGGATTTCCCAAGTTGTGGATTGTTGTGATTACTTGTAAATTTAAAAACAGTTCATGTTAATTGATGACGCAGATGTGAGATGTTGAAAGAATCTTGAATTGGAGCCAAGCATGAGGATTCACAGGACGCTTGTTTGTAACATTGCTTATCATGTTGCTTGACTGCAATTTATTCGAATCAGCTACAAAACCAGAACATGATCATATTCCATATTAACTACTATACAGTGATTCCATGATACATGTATTGTCAGAATATACGTTACAAGTTTTCACCCATGCTACCATCATCTAAGCAAGGATCTGAATTGTAGCTCTTGGATCCCCGTTTTCTCTCTGAAGAATTATTTCAAATTTAATATGTCTGATTTAAGTTTCCAGGATCTTCCCCCAATTTCCCTTTGGTTTTGTGACAGAAAACATTCCCAGAGACACATGAAAAACCTTTACCTCTGCATCTTTATTGCACAACATTCCCATAAAATTGGGAAAAAAAATAAATGGAGACAATTCTTAAAAGACATTCTGTACAAATACATGGAAATAAACTTCAGTATGTACAGTTTAACATGAACCGTTACACATACCATGGGCAACTAAATAATTTATGTATATACAAAGACAGAAAAGCAGATATAAATTCATACCTTTAAAACATAATGGCTGGGTTATACAAAATGTAGGCTGATACAGCGGAGCATCTTCATACAGTAACAAGCATGAATATATTTCAATTTTACCAGCAAAATGAGCTCTCCACAAGCCTGTGATGCATTCATGCCACATTTACCATTAAGACTTGGGTCATATACAGGGTGCCGTTTGAGTTTTAGAAAGAAAAAATAAAATATTTTAGTCAGATTCTGCGACTTGAATTTCTAGCAATATAAGTTATTCACAGCATACATACTGTTAACATGCTGTATCACCATCCCATCAACAAGCTCCGCTCCAAACAATGCAAGAATCCTGAGACATGTTACAATCTTTAAAGAAGCAGTGGGACAAATTCAGTGGTTTCTACCAATGCATTGGCAGATTGAAACACTGAAAAAACCCCTCACCTCCGCCTCCCTATCGAAGACTATGCACCTACAGCGAGTTTAACTGAAGGCAACACGTTCTGTCCATTACTGGGCTACTGTAGAAACATGGTGGATGTCATGATATAAAGATATAAAGTCTCATTGTGAGCTCAAGCTAAATCACAATAATTCTTATTTCCAGGTGATAAACCAATAATGATGACTTTTACTTCAGCAAATACATTTCTTTAACTCTTACACACTGGTCCTCTAAGATTGAATCTTATAAAGTTAGGAAAGTTACTTTCAAGAATCCACGAAGAGGAGTTTTTTTTATTGAGCTGGAATAAATTAAACTTTGCATCCTTTCACATCAAGGTAAACAGATGTGGTTAAAGGCTATGACTGGGCTACAGTGGTGTACTGTATGCGCACCATTCATGCTTTTGGATGTATTTATCGTAAATATTGCAGTCATTCATCCTGGAATTTAACTCACCCTATTGTACCTGCAATCAGACAAATGTGATACAGATTATCTTCCAATGCTTTCAACTGATGACCACAGAAAGCAAAAAATAAAAAATAAAAAAATAAATGTCCCACTTGCCCACCAGGTTCAAATTTACACACAGAGGAAATATTTGAATAACAGAACCTGTGAAAGTGACCGTAGCGGTGTCACAATAGCAAATTGCACCATGGCTATATGTTTTTAAAAAAATAACTTAAAATCATTTATCTGTCAATATTATGGGAAATTAAAAGTCAAGTGTGCAATAATAGACTTGTAGGTTGTGTGTTTTTTGTATTTAGATGTCATAGAAATGCGTTTGAAAATAGAGTTAACTGATACATATTTTGACCCACTATAAGGCTTACTCTGTCTTCTCTCTGCAGCAAACATCAAAGCCGTAAACATCGTAAAAAGGTGGGGAAGCTATAAAAGTGAGAAAATACTCAGCATTTTGGTTTTAAAATAGATGTAGATAATGCATTGTTCAACTTTTCGACAGTAGAAAGGGACCCCCGCCCCCGCAGTCACAATCTGCAGCAAAAACACGTTTTTTTTTTCCTTTAATTTTCCGTGCGAAGTGATCATAAGAAGGAATTTAACAGCTTCCCCTATTTCTCTAAGAACACAGCATAGAGTCTGCACACAGCTGAACCTTTCTTCTGATTAAAATAGTTTAAAAATGTTTTACCTCAGGGTTTTCTATTGAGCCACTGTAAATGTGAGTCATCTACTGCCCATTTGAAGATCTGAGGTAGTGCTGTACCTATGATAAGAATGTCAAAAGCACTTTTAGCTATTTTAAAAAAAGTTTGAGGAACCAAAATCACTGAGTGTCAATACCCCAATGTGAAAAGAAAATAGGCGCTTAAATGTAGGTGTGTGCTGCAATTGGACAAAAACTAGCATATCAAAGTTACTGAGATATCTGAGTGAAATATTGGCTTGTAAACAAATGCATAAAGATAAATGAAATATATAAGTGGCATGAGATTGATAATGATATTAATGATATATTTTTTAAATAAATGCTTTAAAAGTCCATCAGTTTCCATTGTATCACTGTGTTGAAGATTGTACGGAAAGAAAGAGGAAACAAAATCCATTGTTATTATAATGTAGATATTTCCATCCTTTAACTGGATCAATATGGAAAAAAAAAAAGTCTTTGGCTTTTGTGTCCAAAAATAAAAGAGTCCTGTTGTAAAAGAAACATTCAGACAGGAAAAGGTTATTTGAGGGATACAGCACAGAGCGTCTCTCCATCTGTGGGACTGTGGTCTCTAGTTCCCCTTAGTGGTGCAGTAGCAGCATTGCCCCACATTCAGCAGCTGTGGTATTGAGGGAAGATGCCCGCTGTGGTCTGTGTGCACTGCTCAGCTTCAGAGCACAGATCCTATTTAGCCCAGGAAAGAAGGTCAGGCAACCGTGTCGAGGGTCATCTTTCAGGTGGGCCAGAGTGACACTTCCCAGGTCTCACTCACTGCTCAGGACCTCAGTGGCATTCCAGTCTCATAACAGAATCTGGGCCACATAGGGGGAGTGCGTACTGGCCACCGCAGCTAACAAGGGAAGGTCGCTGGACTCAATTCTGCAAAGATAGCAGAAGAAAGATCAGAATATGGTACGTTCTACTGTTCAAACTGTCCACGATATTAGCATGTATTGACATGTATATGTGCCGATGTTAATAGATTTACTCACCAGTCAAAAAACATTTCATTTGAGTTTCATAGTATTACACTAGCAGTTGTTTTTCACAAGCACCAGAGTGTGCTATATGGATTATAACATTCACAGCATTCTGTGCCATAGTGTCAAGCGCTGTTGCTGTACATGCGCAGTTACTTTCAGTTGGGTACCCTTCTTTTCTTCAATATATCTTTACCACAAGTTTTTGACAACTGTATTTGAGGGATTAACACCATAATTGTGTTTATCTATATTTATATTAATTTTGACCCCCCCCCCCCAATTGTGCACAAGCATCTTGAGTGCAGGCATTAGACCCCAAAAAATATGCGTGTGAGACCTACTCATAACATATCTCTCTACAGATCTGTACTTTTGAGCGGCAAATTCATTATTTTAGCAGCTGTTAGTTGATAACAATGGTTAAATACTCACCCTAAGACCATTCCCAGTTCTTTGACATGGACTCTTGTCTGGCCCTTCAAATACTCAGCAAGCATCTTGCTCTTGAAGTAGATTTCCTGCAGGCGGTCCTCAAGGTGCATTATACACTGAGAAAAGGAGAGAGGCAGACATGGTTGTTCATGCACAAGAAAAAATGAATAACTGTATACAGACAAAAATAAAAATACGACATGATAGCATCATCTTGACTAGAAGAAGCTAGTAACTGAGAGATTGAGAATTGGAACATACAAAGTTGGGCGAGAGGTTGAGCTTGTAAAGCTGGTAAGTGGACTGTAATAAGCTGGACACTAGGCTGGATACCAGGACCTCCTTCCCCAGTTTGTTGACGTCAGTGGCTCGTCTCTGACTGCTTGCCACCTGCACCGTCCATTTGTCTGTGTCTGCTATAATGCAGACGGCCTCCGCTATGGGCTCATCCAATACTGGATGCTAGGAAGGACAAGAAGGACCATTATAAATGAATATTCATAAATCACTGAAGATCACTTGAAGTGTTCTGGCTAAGTTAAATAAAAAACAAAAATTGACATTGTGTGAAAAGTGTGATCTCACTCTTACTCTAAAGAACACTTAACTTAGTAGTTCTTAATAATCATGTTTTGTAGCATCACAGCAAATGTATTGCCCTCTTAAGGTAGGGTCCGAAGCCATTAGTCCTTACCTGTACAGCATGGGTTAATTCCGCCATGAGACTCTGTCGTAGCTTCTCGTCACTGGGCATTCCATGCAGTACAAAGTCTGGCACATATGTGGGGCAGTAGCCTCCAAACAGAGAGCGACCGAAATTGGCAATGCTTGGTTTTGAGTAGTTCTCCACCAACTTCGACCTAAAAATAAAATATATGAAATGATTTGCTTTTTCTTCAAACTATGAGTATGAACATGTTATTTACATTCATCATTTCAACATTTTATTATGATGATAGCTCATCGTTTGTAAACAGGAAAAACTATTCACAGAGAAGTGTGTCTGAAAATGGATGTGTTCCACTCACCCAGGGAATGGCACCAGCACTTCCTCCTGCCAGTCCTCTGTCTCCTCGCTCTCACTGTCCCCCAGTGCACTGTCTGAGCTCTCATTGCGTGGAATTTCCCAGTCACTGAGAGGCACAGCTTTTCGCTTTTGGTCCTCTTTGCTGCTGCTTTCATCCTGGGGGACAGGGACAGACAACAGAAGACCATTGTCCTGCTCAGCAGAACAGCCCCTGCTGCAGCACGTGTCAGAGGAGTCTGTAGACCCGCATCTGCACCTTCTCTGGACATCCAACAATGTGTCCCCCCTCCTGCTGGACCCTACCAGTCCACTACCTGAACCCAAACAGAGACCCAACCCCTGAACCCTTACTGGCCCCTGAAAACTTGGAGCCCCTAAGTCACTGGACTGTGGGACTCCCGAGGGGTCCAGCAAGTCTTTGTGTAGACTGTCTGTGGTGCTGGCTTCCTGATTTTTGGCCTCGTCGTCTATAGTCCTCGTCTCCACAGGGTTCTCCAGACTGAAATACTCATCAAAATCATCCACACAGTTGGGCCTCCACTGAGGCATCTTGCTGGACACCCGCTGCAGGGGTGGAGCCACCTTGGTCTGTTTGCTTTGGTCCTCTGATGCACTGCTGTTGCTGGTCTTTGAATCTCCTCCTCTCTGCTTATAAAGGTGCGTTTGTTGCTGATGCAGTAGCAGCTGCTGGTGGAGCGGTTGTTTGTCCTTGAAGTGTTTCTTGTGCTTTTTGATTTCTTCATCCACCTTCCTTCTGCGGCTCTCTGTGTCCGACTCAGGAGACATGGAGTCTCCAATGAGGAAGGTGACTTTAGTTGCAGGCTCTTCCTCCTCTGTTAGAGTCAAAGCCATGGGCCCAGCAATTGGTACTGGCACTGTAGCAGCTGGGCTCTTGTCTGGGGGTTTCTTCTCTAAAGGGATCCCTAAAGGACGAGGAGCCTGGAGCTGGTTGCCTGCATCCATCCCACCCTCTGCCCCGAAGTTTATACTGTTTGTGGTGATAGATGTTGGAGAAGGACTTGATGGAATAATTGTGGGTATGGGTGGGACAATAAGCTTGAGGTCACCCTTGTTCTCTGTATCCAGCACAGAAACCTGCTCCCTGGGGGAAGCTGAGCCAACACGCAACACCTTCTCCAGTCGGGTTTCGGTAGCCAGCAGACTGCTGGACTCTATGCGCAGCTCCCTGGATTCATCTGCTTCTGTAGTCCTGATATCAGGGTTGTTACCCTGACTGTGTCCCGACTGAAGCACACTACTTCTAGACCCTTGACTCTCACTGCTGTCCTCCTCGTCTTCCTCATCCTCATCTTCTTCCTTAGGTGTGTCCCCGGCCCCCTGCTCCAACTCTGTGTCTGTGTACGTGCTGCTCTGGAGGCTGTTGTCTGAAGGGTAGCTGCTGTCCTCTGCTTCAGTCTGCTGGTCGCTTGCCCCTTCAGACAAGTAGTCCCCACTGGGTTTATGGACGGTTACCAGGACGTAGTCTGACTCCTCCACCTCTCCTTTTCTCAAGGAGGTGGTGATGAGGGAGCCGGGCATAACAATAGCCTCGTCCTCAGCGCTGTCCAGCATGTGGGTCTCCAGCAGCTCAGAGCAGCGGATGAAGTAAGTCAGGACATAGAGGAGTCTCTGGACCAGCTCCTGTCTGCGACCGACAACCACCGTCCTTGATAGTCGCACCGGTGACCCAATGGACCCGTACAGGTCCCCTAAACAAGGTGATGATAGGAACATTAGCATTACTGAGTCACTGTGTCAGTGTGTAAGATACATCAAATTTCAACACTTGTCAAGTACTTGAAATTTAACAGAACTTGTGTGCTTAAGTGATTAAGTTTAAGTGATTAATATGTTGGATATGAAGCTGCCTTAGAAGAAAGGTTCTCACTTTACAAAAAGGTGCAGAGTAGGCCATTCCCCAACTAAGGATTTACATATTCAAACCTGATTCATAACACTTTGTCTTAGTCGACTGACAGTTGAACATTTTGTTGTTGTTGTTTTTTTGCGCTCAATAATAAATTTGATCATTTGAGTTCCACCACATCATGAAACTATTTTTCTTCCAGGCTTGGAATAACAATTTATTCTATGATCGGACAAGTCTGCATTAATGTGACCTGATAACCACAGTACACATGTCCAATACAGCAGGCAATGACACACTGATGGCCGGATCATATCACAGACAAACAGACAGCGTCTTTTAAACAGACCATTTAAATATTAACTAAACTCTCCTGATCACAATAATCCAACATAATTGAGTCCCCACAAGTTAAATCCAGAGAAATTTTTCATCCAAAAAAGAACTCTTCAAAAAATGACACCTCATAACAGCTATATAACAAACTATATAGTGTCACCGCTATTCCAGAGGGCCAAAAATGTGTGCAATTTTCCAATAAATGGGGATGTTGAGCTAGAGCAGTGTGCAGGATTTTCATGCTAGTTATACCTCCTACACACCTGCTTCATCTGATAGTTGGATGTGCAAACTCCTCCTTTAAAAAACATTATTTTCCCTTGGCAAGCTGTTCCTTTTGAATGCAGTTACCAGTTATGTACACAAGGTGTCACCATTTACTTACTTTATTAGTTTTCATGTCATTTGAGGAGAAAGTAAATAAAAAACTACTCCGCATGCACTATAGGATAGCTGTGTATTTATAGGATATCATCACTTGCTCTATGCGCCTATAAATCAGCTGCCATTTACGCAACTTAGATATTCAAAATATTGTGTTGAAATGCACCCCTGGACTTCCAATGAATGCTTTCCAGGAGGAGAAAAACATGTTTTCCGCTTCACATCATCACAGGATAAACATGAAATAATTTTTAAAAAAAAATTGGTTTAAAAGGTGTTCAATTAAAATCCAATTTTCTCACAAGTATTGGAGCTGCAGGCTTCTACACACATTATTAAAATCTGCAACTTCTGAACCAACCCACATACAGCTAATAAAGAGTGAAGACTTAATGCATTTTCATGGAGA